GACAGGTGACCGTTTCCTTCCCTTTATGACTCTCATGTGTGTATCAGCTTCGAATATGTCATTTCTCCAGAGGTTCTCACACCAACTCTGCTTGCTACTTGGCTACTTACAATCTCTTTTGTGGACTCCTTTGCCATTTCCTTTGCAGTTAAATTATAAATGCTCACCAGGTCTCCATTTTCAGCTATTCTCTCACTTTTTTTTTTTTCATTTCATCTCTACACATCGTCTGTTGTAAGCATCAACTTAGATGCTGACAATGTGTCCAAGTCCACCTCTCTATTCATGCTCTCTGTCTCAGTGGCAGACTTGTATTTTCCCATCAGCTCCTGGTTGGTTATCTGCCACTTGGAGATTCCATGTGCTTAGAAAATAAATCAACATTTCCCAAACTGAACTCAGGGCCTACATTCTTTACGCTTGCAGCTCCCACTGCTGCTTCTGCCTTTGCTGTTTTAAGAACAACACAATGAGAAAGGCGGGACTCATTCAGCACTGCCGCTTCCACTCTGTAAATACTGTGACTTCATTACTTCTCCTGTAAGCAGTTCGTGCACGCTGCCTAGATCCTCTTGGTAGGTTACAGCTCATCGCCAACCCTGGGTCTGACTCCATTCCCGTCCGCCTGCCGCATCACTGAAACATCTTCCGGAACGGTAAATCTGTTCCGTGACATCCTTTCATGGGTCCCTGCATCTTTGGGGGGATAAATTAAAACTCCTCGGCAATCACACTTTGAAATTTAATCCCTGGGACTTCAACACCAATTCTCTCTGACAGCTCCCCGTTCTCACTCCAAGGAGCCTCTTAAAGCTAACTGCAAACCATCAGTACCGTTTATTTTCCAGGGTCATATCCTGCGATACAACATTTTTCTCTTCTTGAAACATGTGCCCACAGGCCCATAACCTTCTTCAACACCAATCTAATTTCTTGGTAATGCATTAATAGCTGATTCTATGTTCCGTATATGTCCTGTTCAAAACACTTCTGACATCACAATTTTGTCCTAAGTGGTGAATGTCTTGAAATTGAGGACTATGATTCTATGCTTTATTTCCCCACATAGATAGAACAGTGTGTAGTAAATAATAATAAATTACAGCTGTGAAATTCTTCACTAAATATTCATTACATTCCCATACTGGAGGTGACACTATGACTTGTCTAAATGTAATTTTCAAACACATTAGAAGACACAGTAACTGTAACCTGAAATACTGAATACCAAATAAATGGTGAAATTAATAAGTGACAAAGGAATGAACAGGCGAGAGACACTCGACTCCTACCGGGCTGCTCAGAAATGGTTTTAGAGAAACCGTAAGACTTAAGCTAAACAGAAGAATAGTAAGAACATGGGGTGGGATTTAGGAGGAAACCATCTAGATTTTCAGTTTCATGAGGTCGGGGACAGGCTGATCTTGTTCACTGCTGTCTATAAGGCCTCACACATCCTGGCTCATAGTGGCTGCTAAGTATTTGTTGAGTGGAATTTTAAACGCTGCAGCTGGTGATGCAAGAAACATCTGTTTTTTAAAAAAATGGCAGGATGTCTCCACTTGCCATTCCATAAAAAGGTAATTTGTGTATGTGTTTACTAGAATTCTTTCCTCAAAAGTGAAATATTGCTTCGCTCTTTGGTTGGCAAATACATTGCTTCAAGAGGGAGAAGAATCTGCTTTAAATGAAGAGAAAGCTATTTCAGTCCCTAATCCTCAGAGCCAAATTTGAATCTTAAAATGCACTTCTCATCAAACAATCTTAACAAAAAGATTCCTGCCAATTTAACCAAGGCATCTAAATATATTTCATTCCGAAGCCAAGCTACTGCTCAGGAGCATTCTAAATGAGATCATATTCTCCCAAAGATTCTCCGCTGAGTGACAGCACCTGGATAGCGTCCTCAATGCTCAGACTCCATCACCGCTTTCCTAAGAACTCACAATTCTATGCCGTTTAGGAATTCTGCATTTTCCTCCTGTTTTACTAAAGGCTCAATTTTTCCTGAAACTTCTTCATAACGAAAAGATCTGTATTACCAACCAAACTGGAGACACATGTGATTTTGAGTTAACGTCAACCTGTCCCTTCTGACTTCAAGCATGAGCAGATGGAGACCTAATGAGGTACACTACCAACACAAGCACATTTAGGCAGCAAAGGGAGTGGATGCTGGATTTTGGGAGTGCTAGCCTGGTCATCAGTGTTCACTGAATTGTGTTCACAGAGCACCAAGTCATTTACAGATTTAATTTTATTACTTCTGGTAGCCACCTGACATACGTAAAATCGGGCCACTACTCTAATTCAGCAGGCAAGAAAACTGAGCCCACTCTGGGCGTGAACATCGCAGTATGACTGAGCTTCACAAGTAGAACTAGTATGCAAGACTCCTGATTCTGTGAGAATCTTTCCATCACTGCCATTTATAAGGAGCATCACACTGACAGGGACATTTATTCCTTCAGTACAAGTGAGTCGATGACAATTTAAATGGTCTATTTCCTACAGTTCTTCAAAGGAAGACGTGCTGTAATAGCAAAAGTTACAATTACCCACTCCACCACATACAATGAGGGAGAAATGCATGTGTTATTCAGATTTCACTTAAACATCCAACGAACCATTTTTGGGAAATGATTCTAACTAAAAGATTCTAACACTTTCAGACATGACAATGAGGGAAAATAAAACAAAACGCCTTCTTTTATTTAGGCACTAAGGATAGAATTATTCATCTGTTGCTTCACAACAAATACATATTTAAAAACAAATTAATGATAACATATACAATGAAAAAATTCTGTGGAGGAGTCATTTATGATCACTCACATCGCTAGATTATATAAATGTTAATTTTTCAACAAGTCAAAATGTGGCTGGACAGACCCAGGTATGTTTACTTGAGGCTAAGAAAGAAATCTGGCTTGGAATTTTTAACACTTGGTTCTAATCATTAATACTGCAGTGCTGTCCCATTTACAACCTGACAATTTATTTTTGCACTTTCAACATCCCATGATTTTTCAGCAACAGTGAATAGAGTTAAATACTGACACCTTGCCTTAGATGGATCTATATTTTGACTAGCAGGTCTTGCCATTTGTATCCACCTCAGATACCGCTCCAAAATGTTGCATGCAGAGAAAAATTAGTAGAACTTACGAGAACAAAACCTCTACCTCCCGAAAAACGTTTGATGTAATATGTTTAAGTTCTTAGCTAAGCTACTGGAGTAAACTCTCGTCACCTCACGATTGTCTCAATTCATTTCCACAAAATGGCATATTTGTGATGGTCTGAATAAGTAAGCAGCAAAGAAGCAAGGAGTGAAATAAAAATTGAGAGAAAGAAAAGAATGCAAAGGAAGAAAACTGCAAAGGAAAAAAGTCTGTTTCAACCACATGCAGAAAACAAAGAGCCACTCTTGATTTCAGTATCATTTTGTTTTTAGAAACACAATTTAAATACAAGTACTTGGGACTTTGGAGGCACACACATTAGGATATCTGTCCGTATTTCTGTGGCAATTCTAAGTATAAACTAGTGAAAGATCTCTCAAACTCCATAAAAGCCAATGTTTACCAGAGAAATTATCTTATTAAGGGAGAAATACGATCCACATGGGGTAAACTCATAACGTATTGTTCTGAATCATTTTGCACAGAGGCTAAACCATGGGCTTTAGTCTATATTTACACCATATGTGACAACAGAAATTTTGCAAATACTTAGAATACAAGAAGATTCATATCATTAAACATTAATGAAATAGTTGAATTTTCATAAAATTCTTAAGAATCTTGAGATACCTCTACATTACCACCGATGGGGGTTATGGTGGTTATGTGAGCTCCCTCTTTGAACTGTGGGAATATGGAAACTTGTGTGACGTTCAGAGCACATCCTGAACACAGTGCTATGGCCTTCTTGAGTCATTGCTATTGTCCTAACTTTTAAGTCCTAATGGCTTAGTCGGAAGCATTTGCACAGAAGTTTACATAAGCTCCGATCTTTAATTTATCACTTACTTTTTAGATAGAATGGTACTGAAAAGTGCCATAAACTATCAGGATTGAAAGGAACACTGGACACCTAATATTAGGTGGTGGTTTAATCGCGGGACTTTTCCAAATAGAAAACTTTAACAACAAGGAGTGGAAAAGTCCCTGGAGAAATGCTCCAAGCGGGGAAATCCTGGATACTCGTCATTGTCATGCATGTCTGCAATGATCCAATATAGGCAGCAGGGGGCGCTCCTGCACGAAGCAAACCCCCCACAAGTGCTTCCTAGTTGGGGATTCTATTAGCACTTGCCCCAAGTATAAGGAGGTCGCAACCAGCGTGCAGCTATCAATAAACTGTGCAGGATTGGGACACAAAAATGACCAGAGACGACACAGGAGACTGAGTTGCCTTTTGGAAATTGGGAGCCATGTCTAATTTTATTCGTTTTGGTAACCAAAAAGTGTTAAAGGAGATTTCTACTCACGTGATGTGGAGGGAGCTTGCCTTAGAGTATAAAGAGGCGATTTCCAAAAGCAACAAGTGGGCATCAATACCCCTGAGTCATTTATTCGGCCTTGTTAAAATGTAGTTACCAGGTTATGTTCTGTTCAATTTTCTCTTAAATAAAAATCTTTCTCCTTCTCCCTAACCCCCCAAAAAATCACTTGATAAAATGAATTTTCTATAGTCTTAAAGTGTAGATTTTATGGAGGGTCTGCAGCATGTGACCACACTTTACAAGTGAACATGTGATACAAGTTACTCACTCTACACCACCACCCCAGTAAGAGAACCAGGTGGGAAAAATTGTTGGGAACAAGAGCCAACTCTATAACCTGGAACACAAAATTCCAAAGCCAAATCACTGACCCTTGCCTCCACTTCACACACGGTCAGGCGTGCCCCACCCAGGATGGCTGGCTGGCTCTCTCTTCTTTGTCCCCGAATAAAAGTCTGCAGAGACACAGCCACAGACCTCAGCAACTCACCATATTTACTTCAGAAACCATATCGATGCTGGCGATGTCAATGTTCATTCCCACAGCCACAGGGGGACCTGCAAGCCAAGATGGTCAGCCACGTGACTTCTCAGAACTTATCCATTACAGCAAGCGTGGACCCTAGGCTTGGGGGTCTCCCCACCTCACACTTCTGCCCCTGCTGATCCTTGAACTCTGCACTTCCCTGCTCCTTCAGGCACTTGCTCTTCTAGGAATTGCCCCATTGAACATACACACACATGTGGTGATGGCCAGGGCACCCAGCTCTCTGCACACATGTAAGAAGTCTCAGCGTGTGAATACACACACACACACACACACACACACACACACCTCAGAAGCACAAAAGTCTTTCTAGCCCATGGGATTTGTATACATATTCTCACTAACCCCCTCCTCCTCATTCTGTCCCAACCCCCTTCTATGGGTTCGTTTTAACTCCTTCAATTCCATAAGAATTGAGAAAAATTAAATGGGCACATAAGCGTAGCAGGAGTGCAGCAAGACTGTCTTCTTCCCACCCACCTCCAGCCCTCCTGCCTTCTCACCCCATGCTGAGGCTTGAAGGACAGGATAGTATCCTGAGAGGAGTCACCTAAACCAGGGCAAAGGAACTCTTCCAAAGTAGGCGGGCACAGGGGGTTAATGCTATCTCTCAACCAATTGCCTGCACATCTTGTCCTCTAAAATGTTCACGAGGAGGCACGTTCTGTAGGCACACCACTAACTAAACTTAAGAGGCTTGTATCTCAACAAAGCCAGTCAAACAAAATGATTTGTGACTGCCAAGCCTCTCGAGAGCTCGCTAGAAACAAGCCAGCTTAAGTTTGGATCAGCTCCTCAACGTGGAAAAATAGGGAGACATTCAATACATCGCATGCACCCACAACCCGGGAGAGCGAAGAAACCGCACACAAAGCCCAAAAGACAGCTCAGCTTCGGCTACAGCTGGGCTGGTTCTTATTTGCAAGACAACTCCATTACCTCCAAAATCTGGTCTCAGACGAATGTCATAGCCTTTCAGCAGTCTATCCACCGTCTCTTTCACCAGCGACATATTACTAGGGTCATTGACACTGGAGAAAGAAATGACAGTAAACAGCCATCAATGGGGAAGCAAGCACACAGGGCATCTTTAGCTTCTCTGCTCCCAAAGGTATGCAGACAGGGCTCTTCAAGAGAGAAAGTAAAAAGACACTTACCTTTGCGCACAGACAGCGGCGATGATCAAGGGAAATGACCAAATCCCAAAGTAGCCCCTCTTCCGGACTCTCCACATCCCTTTAGTTTTTGATGGGGTTCGGGTTTCACTGAAGAGAGGTGATCCAACTTAGTCTGCCCAGTGCAGTAATTCTAATGTGAGGCGCATGCGCGCGACGTACCAAAACATCAAAGGGGCAGCCGCGGCTGCCGGGGACCAAGTAGATTTCCTTGTTTAAAAAAAGAAAATTAAAGGGGAAAAGGATATGTAGAATGTATGCATGTTTAGGTAATATAAAAAGTCACCCCACAGGAACATCCCGAGTAAAATCTTTCTTGTCCTTTTGTTAAGATTCAAAAACAACTACAGCATCTGGTAAGTTTTAGTAGTTGCAGGCGGCAGTTTTGCACCTCGCGGGTTGTGGTTTTTTGGCGTGTGCATGTGCGCGCGTGTGTGTGCGTGTGTGTGTGTGTGTGTGTGTGTGTCTTCTTAAATATGCAAAACCATATTAAGAATTTGGGGCGAGCAGGTGTGGGGTGAGGAAGAGCAGTGCTGGAAGCCCATTTAGGTCTCGGCCAGCTGACGGCGTGAGGAGTTTGAACTTTATTTCCTTGGCGAGCAGCAGCCCCTGCCTGAGGCGAGCGGGGGTGTAGGAGTGCCCAGCAGCCTGCTGGATTTGGGGCAGGGGGTGGGGAATAAGAAAGGGGGTGAAGGAAGAAAGGGAAAGCAGAAAGAATAAAATGATGCCCAGTCTTTCCTACGAGAAAAGGTGCAAGCTTCTCTTCACTACTCACAGCGATTTTCTCCCTCCACCACCTCCAGCGCCGCCACCACAACCATCTCCTCCTCCTCCTTCTCCTCCCCCTCCTCCCCCTCCCCTTTCCCCCTATTCCCACAGAAGAAAACCTCCTCAGGGTCCTGGTTTCTCGCCGTGTGACGTTCCTGACCCGCTAGTCCCAGATATTTATAGCAGGCGGAGGAGGGGGCTAGGGGAGCAGAAAGGCAAGGCAGTCTCTGGGTCCTGCTCGGGCTCTGCACTGGGAAATGATCAGAGGCAGGGTGGGGTTCGGAAGGGCGGAGGTGGGACGCGAGGGCCTGAGGGCCGCTGCAGAAAGCGCCAAGCACAGGTGCGGGCTGCTCTGGGGCGTGGGTAGGGCAGGTGGAGCCGGGGAAGCGCCAGGGTCGGGCCCCACGCGGCCCC